TGAAACCCTGGCTCCGGAAGTCCAAATGGAAATTATTGATTTACGGTGCAGTGATATGCTTAAGAACAAATATCAAAATTCATCTTCGTTGGAATTTTGTAAGAGTCTTCCATTGGAACAATTTGATAATTTGCATAAATTTGCTCGTGGGTTGTTTTCTGTTTTTGGTACTACTTACTTGTGTGAGAAAACGTTTTCCAAGATGAAGTACACAAAGAATGTTACGAAAACTTGCACTGTTTATAATGCATGGAATTTTAAGTGTGACTTCATTGTTTGTTCTTGAATCAGTATGCCTTTTACCTACACAAGAATAAAGGTATCTTTACTTCTCAGCCTCACCACAATACTTGAAGGTTACTATCTCAACAAGTAATCAAATCAAGAACTCAATTATATATAATTGAGTGAAAATGTACAAGTTACCTAAAAGTTTAACAGAGTGTGTCACGCTATTATATTTTAGGAGAAACATTAAATTTCAACAAAAAAATGTTTGTGGACATGATGTATTTCTTATGACATTATTTTTGTCTTTAATTTCTTTATTGTTGGTTTTTGATCGATTTTTATTCGAACACTCATTTATAACATTTCACGCAGTTTGACTAGAATTTTCTGTATCGGGTTTTTTTTGCCCTAATGATTGTATTGGAGAATACTTCATAATAAATTTTAAGGATGGTGAAGATTTCTCAAATATTTTTTACTAGATAAATTGACCAATTGCTTTAGATGGTGAAACTAACCTGATTCTCTTCCGTAAATGGTCTGCAGTAAATAAGACGTATTATTGGCTTTTTGACATACTGCTTATTTTTCATTGCCGGTTCCTGATTTACGACAGTATGTTTGATAACATGTCCATGTTCATCATGTGACAGAGTATAACCTCCTTCTCCATCCTAAAAATTTAATTTGCTTACCTTTGGTTCTAAAATTCATTAATTCACATTATTTGATACAAAGAATCTTCCTCATGGTGATATTCAATTTCGAAACGATAACTTACATTAAATAACTTTGGCTTATGTCTTGGCCTAGCTCCTAAATCTTTCGCAGGTTTTATGAACTTTTTCTTTTTTCTTTCTTTATTCGAAGCCTGTTCTTGTATCATTTCAATCAAAGGCCTGCAGTAGATCACCTGACCTGAAAGACACAGAGCCGTTCAAGAATCTGACACCAAAACACAATTAAATGTGCAAACTCACTACATCCAAAATTAATAGCTCCAATCTGTTCTAAAAAACTATGTACTCGCCCGAAGCTATTCACATCACCACAATTTTTCAAGCCTTGTCGACTGATAGTTTTGAAAAGGTAATTTGGTTTTTGTGATGCCCAACCTTTAATTATATGATTTCGAATCTGAAATGAACAAAGTAACATTGTCCAAAAAAAAATTATTTTTTGAACGGGTCAACTCAAAAAATTGAAATTTGGGATAATGAAATTAAAGCATGAATTCTTTATTTTGAAGTGAAATTGACAGATGAAACTTTCAAGATGGCGACTGGGCGCCATATGGGAAAAAAATTTAAATTGAAAGGGGGGGGGGTCTTGTGACACATCATTTTGAAGCTACTGACAAATACTTCACAACCCTAGAATATGAAGTAAATATCTTCACCTACTACAAATGGCGGAAGACAAACATCTATCCGATATTTCACGCCGAACATTTTCGAACACAGTAACGTCGATATCTCTACAAATATTTATTATTCTCTGTCGTATATCTGATATTGAAGCAGGTTCAGTTTCGTACACTTTTTGATTCAAATAGAACCATAAAAGAGTCCAAAGGTGTCAAATCTGAGGAGCGGGCTGGCCATTCTGTAGGACCTCGACGGCCAATCCAACCGGGAAAAGTAGTATCCAAATGGTTTCTTACTTATCTGCAGTGATGTGGTAGTGCTCCATCTTGTTGGAATACAATATCCATATCAAATTCATTAGAATTCGCTTCGACGATTTCAGTGACGAGAGGGTCAACAGTAGTTTCCAGCATATTCAAATACAGTTCTCCTGTTAAATTTTGATTAATAAATAGAGGTCCTACAATATGGTTTCCCAATACTCCTGCCCAAACGTATTTTTTTTCTGGATATTGGATATGTGTTTCCCGGAAAACGTGAGGGATGGTGTCACTCCAATACCAGCAATTTTGTCTGTAAACATTGACGTTTAAAAAAATGTACATTCGTTACTAAAACAAATATTGTGGAGATAGGTAGGATGCCTTGCAATGGTTTCTATCATGAATTCACAGAATTCAGTTCTTCTATCAGGGTCATCTTCAGTTAATTGGTGTACCATTTTAATTTTGTATGGATGATACCTATTCCTCTTCAAGTCTCCACACAATAGAAGGAGACACCTCACAAACATTCGCGACGGAATAAGTAGACTATTCAGGATTTACTACCATCCCACCAATTATTTGCACTTGCTGTTTTTCTGGAATGGACGGATGACCTGGAGACTTTTTGTTATGTACACTACTGGTAGTTGCGAATTTGGATACAAGTTCCCTCAAATATTTTCTACAGATAGGACGATTCGGAAACCGTTCATTGAAAATCCTTTCGGTCACGTAAAAGTTACGCGTCGCACCGTAAATGAAATTTGCTTCAATTTTTTCTTTCAATGGACGAGAATTGACCATTTTAGAGATAATTGACGTGGTACCTTTCCACTAGTAAAACCGAAAAGTAAATGAGAATATTATAACTGAACAATGATGTTCATTGTCGTACTGACATTTTTTGTCTTTTTTTTAAACAAAAAATAACTTAAATCTCATAGGGTTGTTGGAATTGCCATATGGCAGATAAAAATAATAATAATATTCTTTATTGCCATAAAATCAACTAAGAACATAGCACGTCAGGGGGTTATAAAACAATGCATTAAAATGTATGTACAGTGACAAAGATTACAATACAATTCATTGACTAAATAAAGTAAATACAGGTACGCATAAATACATCTACTAAAAATCAATGTAGTTTGAAAGTTTATGAGACAACTACATCAAGACCCATCACCAGCAGTTTAAACTGTAATAATTTTTCTCTTTCAGATACTCTATCGTTAGGAGTCTGAATTTTCTCAGATACTGAGTATTTTTTATTTCAGTTGGGAGTGACTGATATACCTTAATGGCTTTATAGTGGGGTCCCTTCCCATTAAATGATGGATGTTTTGGTATACTGAGGTCGGTTCTTCCTCTAGTATTTATTGCCATTTGATCAGAATAATGATCACAGTTCCTTGTAAAGATATGGTAGTGTTTTTTTTTGTAAAAGTTACTAATTGAAGAAAGTACAAGGAAGGAACGGTTAATATAGCAAGTTCTTTGAAGTATGGTCTACATGTTGACCCATAAGGTAATTTTAACATAGAGCGAATTATATACTTTTGAGTTCTGAATATTTTGTTTGCCATAGTAGATGTGCCCCAAAATATACTGCCATATTGAATAATAGATTGAACATGTGCATAGTAATATACCTTCATGCTGTTCAACGAGACTTGGTCCCTTGTTGCTCGAACTACTCCTGCTACAGAACAGAGCCTTGAGTTCAGTTTATTCACGTGTGTATCCCATCTGATACTGCTATCAACTGTGACCCCCAAAAATTTGAAATCGTTTATTTCTGGAATAGATTTATGGTCCAATTTGACATAGATAGATTCCTGTCTATTTTGGAAAGTTCTGAAGCTCTTGAATCAGACCCAGACATTGTTACCGACGTATCATCTGCGAATTGACAGACTAGACCTGTACCAAGTGATTGTGGAAGGCCATTCACGTATATCAAGAACAATATTGGTCCTAGGATAGACCCCTGTGGAACTCTTTGAGTAATTAGATTTCTATCAGAACAAGTTTGTTGGTCATTTTGAATGTCAACGACTTGGTATCTTCCAGACTAATATGATTTTAGAGTGACTGACCATGTCAAAGGTCTTTGATAGATCAAAGTATAAGCTTCCTACCATATTTTTTTCTTCAATATTATTCATAATTTCTGTTATCGCATTATGAATTGCAAGTTCAGTTGACATCCTATGTCTAAATCCGTATTGTTGTGGAGCAAGTATCTTATTTAGATTCAAGAATGTTTGCAATTGCTTGTAGATTACTCTCTCAAAGACCTTTGAGGGCGAAGGTAGAATGGATATCAGTCTATAGCTATTTATATCCGCTTAACATTATGTTAAATAAAGAGATAAATATAATGAAGTTTTTGAATTAAACATATGAAAACTTAAGTCAGTAAGATATTAATATATAACTGCAAAATATAACAAAAGAGTCATAGGTTTATCGATTCGTGGGGGGGTACGTGTTTGTATAACTGAGCATGTAAAAAAAGAAACGTGTAAGACGTAAACTCATTTGTCTATGAGATATAAATATTAAAATACAGTGAAACATACTTTCACATATATCATGTCTATAACTGTAAAAATTATGAAAATTTTACTAATACTAGTTTCTATCCTAACTTCTACTGTTTTCTAAAATAATCATGAAATTGCCATCAAAATGCTTGCATTGAATATGGTTCAATGTTACACAAATCGAACACTAGATTCTTGAATGTATGCCATCTGCCTTCTTTTCTGATTGTTAGTGATAAATGATTGTATGATTTGATGGCCTTATAGCGTGGACCTCTTTCTGTATTTCTTAGTCTACGTTTAGGAAGAACGAGGTTCAAGTTATGCCTAGTAAAGTACTTGTGAATGTTTTAATGCACATTTTGTATATATCAATCAATCAAACATTTATTGAATCAGTTTTCCTTCACAATCACATTAGACAAAAAAAACATATCATAAAATACTGGCTGATTCAACAGGGCAAACAAACATAAAAAAGTCAATATAAAACATACATAAAAAAATTAATAAATTAGAATCAAATTAGGATTCAAGGAGAAATTATCCACAGAGTAGTATGCTTTTTGCAATAGAAAATTCTTGAGTCGCCTTTTGAAGACATTGATATTTGAAGATTTAATGACCTCACTAAGCATTGAGGTTATATAGCTTAACCCCAATGCACATGGGGTGATTCTTTGATACTGTCAATCCACCATAAGGTTGATGTAGTTGAGAGTTATTTCTAGTAAAATGTTCATGGATTTGCTCATTTCTAGGAATAATTGAAATATTGTTTTTTATATATATCAGTGTTTGGTAGATATATAAACTAGGCATTGTTAATAAACTATAACGAATGAATAATGGCCTGCAGTGTCCACTTGAAGATGCACCAGCCAGAATTCTGATTACCTTTTTCTGAATAACAAAAACTTCATCAGCTGTAGCTGACAAGCCCCACTTTTCAAGACCATAGGAAATTACTGACTGAATTAAATTTTGGTATAAAAGCTTCAGAACATCAAGAGAGACTGTTTGTTTTAACAGCAAAGTAAATATATATGTTTACTGAGCTTCAGTTTGACACTATCAACATGAAACTTCCAGGTAAGTTTATTATCAATATCAACACCTAAGAATTTAGTACAATTAACTTGATGTGAAGTTTCATTATTTAATCTAACCAAATAGTTTTCATCAATTGTTGTATTTTTAGTAACAGAGTTGAGCATTTGAGATTTAGCAGAATTTAGCAGCAGGCCATTTATAGAACACCACTCAGAAATTTAATTAGTTACTTCATTAGCTTTGACAATTACTTCGGACAGAGTTCCTGCAGATATTAAGATGTTAGTATCGTCCGCAAAAATTACAGTAATGGAAGCTTTTGAACAAAATTTCGGAAGATCATTTATAAAAACAAAAAATAGAAGGGACCCAAAACAGAGCCTTGAGGTACCCCTCTTGATATACATTTTTCATTCGGGATTCAATCCATTCACACAGACCATCTGACTACGATCAGTCAAGTAAAATCCAACCCAATTCAATGCAGAGCCACGTATACCATAAAACTGCAATTTGCTCAAATCAAAAAATTGTCCTAAAGTCTGCCATTGTTTCCCAAGATTTCCAGCGCATGTTTAATGAGTTGATCAATTGCACCAACTGTAGATTTATTTCTTCTATACATAAATATGTGTTGTATCAGATCTTCCCATTTGAATAAATAAATAATGAAATGAATTCATCACATTTCTATTTCTAAAAACTATATTATTTGATCAGCAATGACATTACAGTTTCTATTCAGAATAGAGGAGATGACATTACCTTCAAATATCTTTCTGGGGTTTTGGTGATACTCCCTTCAAAATAATCATGATGAATAACTTTTTCTAAATCGGTAACAGTTTCAATGTCAAGTAAAACTTCACTCTTGGGTTCTTCCATACTCATTAATTCTTTTTGCAACTCTTCATTTAAAGACATGGAAGTATTACTCAGTTGTGATAATCCTAAGCTCGGATCTTTAGTACTGTTTGCATTAGTTTCAGTTTTTTTTGGCTCTTGAAAACTTTTGAATACTACTTCTTGAGGTTCACTTTCCATTTTTACTATTTTTGGTTTGCTGCAAGGAACATCATCATCAGATAATTCAACGTCAATTTCTGTGTCGGTATCACATTCTTCTGCATCTCTTTTGATTTTCACCTGAAAATAGTACTCCGGACATTTCGATTTTGGTTTTATAAAAAAAATCAGCAGAAATTTTGAAGTTTTTGATATATTTGAAATAATTTAATTGAATGTACAGAAGCCACTTACAATTTCCTCGCCTTCATAAATAGGTAAGGCAAGTCCTTGACCAGTAGTAATCTCAACAGTTTTTATTTCATTTTCATTACTTTGCTCATTCAGAACCTGAATCATTTTCTGTTTGATTGCATTTTTTCCCCCAGTTTTGATGGATATCTTATTTTTCATCTTTGCATTTGCCCCTTTTATGTTTGCATATTCATTTTTCTTCCTCTGTATAAGTTTATCCTTATCTGACATCTTGAACGGAGTATTCGATTTTGGAAACTGTCTGCCTGTTATAATTCTGCTCAAACTAGCAGTGTTTTGGGTTTTTTTAGCAAACGTCTGAATGGTAGGCTTTGCCGTGCTAACAGCTTCAATCACTTCTTCAATGCTTGTTGGTATCTAATGAAGACAGATAATGTGAGTAAACATATTTCAGAAACTTTAGGATTCAAAAATCAAGTATCAGACAATTCCATCATAATACTGCAAATGTTTTATTAACTGGAAAAATTAAATAAATATGCATTATAATTTCAAGACTGGTGCAATCAAAAGTGAAATAAACTCAGCCAAATGACAAAATAAATATTCATTTCAACTGTGTCTCTCTTTAGAACTATAACACTGACTCACGATGAGTGTTTTATAAACTAAATTACCATCATCAGGAGATGGTAAAGCTCTCCTGATGATGCTCAACCTGGTTAGCAACACTCATGACTGGATACAGTGCAATAGTTATGTTGTGGAAAAAATAGTTTTCATTAGGATAGTAATAGGTTCTTTCCTCCTATTAACTATACAAATTACCTGATTATCATCAAAAATACCATCCACAGAGTTCTCATTATCCCGCAGTACTTCAATAGATATTCGGCTGTTATGACTGTCTGAGTGAAAGTTTTTTAGATAATACTTCACTTCGGAACCGTGTTTCGATCCTATGAACTGAGCCAAACGTTCATAACTTTTCCCAAATATCTCAATTCCTCTCTTAAGAAGATTTTTTTCCTTTTCAGTCCAGCCACTTTCATCAGTTATGCTATTTTCTGTAGATACAAAATGACCTGATGCTTCATCTTCCTTATCAGGTAAACCATTACTAGTATTTGGGTACCAATTTTCTGGGTTGGCACTAGGGCGATCCAAGAGCCATTGAGGATGTATGGTGTAATCACAATTTAATAAATCGGAGGTTTGCGAAATTAATGACGATCCATCATATCTATAACAAAAATTATTGAACAACTCAAAAATCTCAACAATACTCCATATCTCACAAGTTAGAATCTCCTTTGGATAATAATGTATCTAATTTGAAATCACCTAAAATATCAATTTCATCTTCATCGTTCATTATATTATTAAAAAAATCAGGTTTTGATCATTAACAATTTGGAATGTTTTCATCATTTGATACTTATTTCAAAATTATTGTTCATTCACTGAAAATTTGTACAGGACAAAAAATAATTCTGTGTTTTTGACAGTTATTCAAGGACAGTAATTTTTTTCAGGGTGATTCAGTGCAGGGTTCGTATATAGCGTATAGATTTAAACCCGGTTAGGTTAGATCACTTCATAATCCTACATGTCCTCAGCGTGCTAGAAAAAATACCCTAAACTTCAAACGTCAAATGTATCGACCTCAGAGTAACAAAAGACAATAGAGATGCCTTTTCCATCCTTACATTGAAGGCAGCATAACTTTGTTTGTTTACGGGAAGTAAGTTGGACCATAAAACAGTGGCGGTTGGTTAAGTTAATAATCGGAGGGATATTATATATTTATAAAATAAATCATTTCAGGTGAAAATGTATTCTGTTTGAATATTTCCTACAGAAAATCTGGTTTATTATTAATGATTATGNCACAGAATACCTTCTCTTTGTCAAGTCCACATGGGTGGGGCAAATCTCAAAATACAGAATGACATCCGGCTAATGATTTTCCTTCATACTATTGGCAGTATTGGCGTGTTCACGAATCCTCAAATCTGAAATGTACGTAGTTTCCGGTCGTGTAAATCTTTTTCTTTCATGTCTTTAATTCCTAATTTCTGTTTTTTTAATTGTGTTCAGTGAGTAAAAACCATTATATTATAATTTTATTAAGCTAATAAAAATCTGTGGTATTTCATGGAGTAATATTCTCTAACTATAATGGTATAGGGTAACAGAATAATCGTAGGCACTGTATTCGCCGGTAGTTTGCAAACATGGAAATGAAAGGCGTCAAGAGTACTCATGTTTATTTGAGTTTGAAATACATTTTTTGACATATTTCGGTAATGTTTTTCCTTTCGATATCGTTTCAGTTTACTAAGGAAATGATACAAAACGATCGGATTGAATGAACATTCCAAAGTATAGGCAAATAAAGGATTGATCTCAACAATGGCGGCTGTTTCATAATTAACTTGTACTGATTCATGCGGGGGAAACTTACTTTTTCGAAAGTTGTGTTTTTTTTGTAGATGGGGAACACTCACCTGGACTAATTGATCATTCAAGCTGAGAAAAATAAATTTCATTATGGGTATCAGTGATTTGCAAACTTTTTTGGAAAGCCCCACTTTGGAAGGAGGAGCTGTTTCTGTTGATCTTTTGAAGATAGCCAGAAATGTTACTCAAAGACAACAGCCCCACAACGCCAACCGTAAAATTAGACCCATAGGAAATAAGTTGAAACTAATTATAGATGCGGAAAATTGTTTAGATAGGTTGTATGGTGGATATTTCTCAGGTAAGTTTCAATTTTGTCACGCTGGATAGAAATATTGGTGGGTACTACTCATTTTCAATGGCTCGCGCTAGTTTTTGAAAAAGAAAATTATTAGACTTGTCTGCCAATCACAAATCTGAAATCTAAACTTGGCATTCTTGTCAACTTTTGGAAAGGTGGTCTCTCAAAAAAGTATTTCATAGTAGAAACAAATAAAAATAATGCCTATTTATGATGAAAATTTGCTGACCTTGATTCCCTTGGCACTTCTTTCATACAAAATATTTAATTTCCTCAATTACCTAGATATTTTCAGCATGATGAAAATTGTTGACCTTTATTCCCTTGGGGCACTTCTTTCATACAAAACATTTAATTTCCTCAATTATACTGTTATAAACAATCAATCAACAGTTCTTTATTGTCTGAAGAATAACAATTCTCATCGACAAAGTCAGTGAAGCATATAAGGTTCATACATGCTAGTCCTTGTCTGTCTCAATTTCAATCTTGATTAAAAAAATTCAATGTGTATGTTCACATAAAAACATTTGTACATTTATATCCTTGTCTAATGGCTGTTTCACGAAATTAACTTTTACTTTATCTACTTTGAAAAAGTAAAAAATGAAAATGAATTGCAGCATTCATAAAAATAGTGGAGTATGAGGATGAATGCTCCTATTTATTTACATTGCAACAACTTGAAGTATAACATAAATAAAAAGTAAGAATTTGATTCATGAAATTACATAAAGTATTGTAGTATGCTTTACTATGTGCAAAACTTTGTTATTACGGATTCGATGAGAAAAGTCAATTTTTTTTTAAATCTTTTCTCAGTAATAACTCAATAATAACTCACTTCAGAACTGAACTTAATACATGGGGCACCTCTGGGCTCTATACTTGCACCTCTCCTATTTATTATTTACACTTCTGAATTTTGCAAAATACTGAAGAATTTTCAAATGCATACCAATGCTGATGATATCAATCTGATTTTTTCTGTGAAAATTGATAACTTTTTATCCGTTGAACACTTTTTGAATAATGATATAGATGACCTATTGAAACTAACAAGAAATCACTGTTTGACCATCAACCCAAATAAATCATCAGAAATAATTTTTAGTAATAAGAGGAACAGGAGTAGGGCCATAGATAATTCCTCAATTTTTATCAATAATCACAAATTCGAATATAGTGATGAAATAAAATGCTTGGGGTTGACATTAGATTGCAATCTGAGATTTATTAGCCATATTAACTCTTTGATTCCGAGAGCATATGGTTTACTAAAACATTTATACCCACACAGACACTACTTCACGAAACATCTGAAAATTCAACTATGTGATACACTTATTTTATCAATTTTCAACTACGGTGATATTGTCTATGGCTTGTGGCTGAAAATGTTAAATAGAAGGAAACACCACCTTGTATGCTTCGTTCATAAGTTATTGAGAAACCAATGTCCAGATTACCTCTACCCCAAAATTACTCCATGTCACCAGTACCACTCTAGAAACCTTCGTAACATCAATATGCTTACCCTCCCGCATCACTCTCTATCTTTTCCCAAAATGGATTTGAGGATGTAACAGTTTTTGAAAATTTAGTTCCAGTTTCAACTGCCCCTTCGACTGCTTCTTTATCAGTTCATTCTAAGTGTATCAGCTCAATATTGTTGAAACTTTCGTGAGAAGTTTTAATAATTTAAGACAAGCATGAATTAATTACCTCTTTCTGATATTTTTCTGTATGATGATCGAATGAAATTCCACGGCTAATAGAGAAATTCAAAAAAAGGTAACAAGTTGCTAACGGCAGTTAATTGGGAGAGCAGAGGTCGACGATTTTTTATTTTGTGGGACAACCTTTTTTTTTTTGGGATGGGGCGCCACTTGATTTGATTTTGTTAAAATCAAGAAATAAAAATATGCATACGTCAGAAAATTAGTTAATAGTTACTGCAGACTAAAACTCCAAAAATATGGCAGACAAAAAAGCGGTTATTGTTTTCTTTAAAAAAGTATGTGATCCGGTACACAACAAATGAAATAATACGACGCCGCTGCAGCTGCAGTAGGATCTTACAAAGTTATAAAGTAAATTCATACGACTTTCATTACGTCTACACAAAATAATTATTGAAACGTTGGAAATAATTTTTGAAACGTTAGATGCATGTAGGTACATATAATTCAAAAAGGAAACAACAGGTATATAGTTTGTCTCCAAAAATAGGTTGTCTGTGTAGTGGAAATCAACTCCGATGTAAAAAATTGGAAATTCCTCACCAAATGAGTCCCTTCTTTCCTGGATGTTATCAGCAACAGGCTGTCTGAGGGGTCGAGTAGATTCTAGATGTAGTCTGGAGGGTTAGAAAACGAAACAGTTCCTGGATTCGAAAGATATATGTCGAACTGGAGCAATTCAATTCTTTTTTTTTTTAACTGGTCGGCAGCAAAAGATGATATTTAGGGTTCCAAAAGGTTCCAAACCAGAACAAAACGTTCGGGATGGTTGGACGACCCACGCTCCTTGGAAAATACCAAAGGCTGTACTTGTCTGTAGCTTAATGGAAACCGGCAGATCTACAGAAAGTGATCTTGGTTGTGATATTGGTTCCAGAAATCAAATGGTTAAAAAAACTCACCTCCTCTAAGGGAAAGGCTTCCACTAAAATAATGCGCAACACAAAAATGGTAACTGACGTGACACACTCTACTTTCGTTTCTCAACCGTCACCCAAAATCCTTTCAGGTTGACATCCGACCAGAAGTATTAACACAAACTCGTCNTTGTAAACCGTCGACTTGTCAGTGATTAAACAAGTTTTTTTGTGATGATTTTCAGAGCACGGAGAGCAATATAAAAAAACTGGCTGATTATGTTCGTACACTGCCTCTGCCTTCCAATATGGATAGCTTGGTCTTGACCGTTTTTGGTTCTTTGGAGGACAAAAGGGCTAACAAATTCAGACAGTCCATTCAGTACTACTTGAATGGAACTGCGAATGGATTTTTGAAGTATTGTACTCCGCCTGGTGAGTAAGATACTATTTATTTGGCCTCAACTAATGCAGATAGATCATTAAGCAATGTTAAATGTGATCATTTGCAGTTTTGTAACATATGAAGATCAAACATTGACATTTTCTTATTTTAGTTAAATCGAAACCAAAGAAGAATCCTCCTGCGACCACCCATAATAATAATTCTGTTAATAATGCAACTAGAAGCGAAGAGCATGACCTGGATACTTCAGGCTTCGCCTCAGAAACAACAGAGCAAGAGGTTTTTATTGCAGTTTCACGTTTTTCAACAACACTCATTTATTTTTTACATTTTACAGCGAGAAACTTTGCAAATTTACAAAGAGGCAACGGCTCATTCGGTTATTACAGACTTCGAAGGTTTGGACGTGAATTTATTGAATAATATGAGTAACCACAACGGTACGAATAAAGGAAACTGTCTTCTCTTCGTGTCTTGTAATTTTCTGTTTTGCAGACGATTCTCCTGTTTCGTCGGATTCTTCGAGGTTCAACGGAATTTCAAATGGGTCAGTATCTTCTGCCAAGAGCGCAGCCGGACCATCATCGGGAAATAAGGTTAACAATCTGGCTAGCACCAGTGATTCAAGCAACAGTATTCCTTCTACTCCCAAACCGCCCAAAGCTCAAAAAGGAAAGAAAGCCCCAGGTATATTCCAATTGATAATTTTTCTGTGGTTCAGTAAATACAATGGGGAATGTTTCTCCTGACGAAAATCAAGTAGTTTTTATAAAAGAGCTCTAAAACAACGCATTTTAAACTTATCATTTCAACCTTTTTCTTTAAAAAATTATTTAAA